AATTATCAATACCTGTAATTGGGCCTAGTTTGACAAATCGGCCAACATTATGCCCTTTCCTTGGCCCAAATAACATATCCACCACTATATAGATATTATCTCGACCAGTAAGAATAAAATATGTGGTCTCATGAATATCGGGCGGCCCCCGCTCCCGGGTGTGGCCCCACGTGCAATTTACTATTCACGCGAAAGAATTAATAAAAATTTACAACTTCGTAAATCCATTAATCATTCCATAAGGTTCAATACATTATTTTATTAAAAGTAAATATAATTGGGGACTGTGTTACACCTTAAGTTATTTATGAAACCAAATTTTGTCCTTGACACGATTCTGTCACAGTATAGCTCTTCTTGAAACAAGTCATGGGATGATGTTCTGCTTATTTTAAGTTCCTATGTTGATTCTGATTTTTTTAAATAGTTTTGAAATTTGTATTTTTTTTGTCTATTTTTGGGTAAAAAGGGTTCTCTGCTAAAGACAAATGGATGAGGGTATTATGCAGTGGCGGAACTAGTCGGGGGGGGGGGGGGGGGAGCCGGTGCTGCCGCCCCCGTTCGCCGGAGATGGTGGTGTATATATATGTATATATGTATGTACAGCCCCGTCTCAAAGTAATGTAATAAATATAAACCGACCTGAATTGTAACTAGTAATCTAGGTAGCATAGATGGTAGAAGTTTGCTCCAGGATCCTTATATATTCGGGTTCGAGTCCCCCTGGCGCCTGGTCTTTTTTAATTGTTTAAACCTCCTCTACTTTCTCTTCTTTTGTGACTGTTTTAGTTTTAATTTTTTTCCTATCGCACTACATTACTTTTATTTTACATTTTTATTTTTCCAATTCATAATAGTTAACTTTTTTTTTACTTTTTCGCATATTGACATGTTATTTACATTTTCGGTTTAGTACAATGACTATAAAGTTTTAACTTAACATAACTATTTATTCTTTGCTTTGGTACAAATATGCCAAAACTTCTTGTTAATATTTGAAATATGCGACTTTAATTATATGTGTATAATTAAATTTATGTAATACATTTGCATAAATAAAACAATTAATATCCTTTTAAAAAACAAATAACCTAGAAACAACGTTAAATTGAAAAGAGAAAAACAAAATTATTATTTTCTTGATAAGTTAGTAACTTACATATACTGCGTATGGGAGTTTTAATTTATCTTCCTCTATTTGTGTAACTATATTTCTATTTAAACCTTGATATTTAAAATGAGCGTATTAAATCGAAATTTAAACAAAACTTTAAAATAAAATGACAAGCGTTTTAAATCGAAATAAACTCGCGTGTTAAGAGAAAGTCTATTGTTTTGTTTGGGCACTAGAAAACAAATATAGATGGAAATATATGTGATTGTATATGTATGTGTATGTGTGTGCTTGTGTATATAGGTCTAAATAAAGAGTCACTTCATGAAAATGAAAATATTTCTTCTGCATTCAATTTGAGATCAAATTAATCTATATAAATACATAAAAAAGAATACAGTAGAGATTATATATCTTTCCAACTAGATGATTTGATTCCCCCCTCAAATTTTGTTCTGGTTCCGCCACTGGTATTATATGCTGGCACTTATGGAAAACCTATACTAGTATTGTATGGGGTTCATATTGCAGGGTGATTTCCTCTGAACAAATAATTTTTCAGATTAAGTTTTATACTCAAGCCTGGGTTACCAGTTTTTCAGCCCTGAAAATACGGGCTATTGGAGATATATTTTATATGAAGAACAGTTGATTCCACCCAATTTCAAAGCAAAACAGGGCTATAAAACTGTGAAATGGAAGCGACCTGCTGGAATGTTGAAATTAAACACTGATGCTAGTTTCCTACCTGGGGGAGCAACGTGAGGAGCAATTATGAGAGATGAAAATGGCGTGATGGTCTTCGCGATGTGCTTCCCCATTGCAGCGTCCTCGCCATTGGAAGCCGAAGTCGCGGCAGCGCTAAACGCGATGAAGTGGGCTATTTCCAAAGGATTCTCTAACTTCCCGGTGGAATTGGATGCTGAGGTTGCAGTTCAGTACATCGTAGATGGAGGTGCGGATAGATGGAAGGTTGATTTTCAGGAAAGTCTACTTAAGGCCAGTAAGATAGGGATTCAGTTCTCCCATGTCTTCAGGGAGTGCAATTGGGTAGCCCACCATTTGGCTTCTCAAGCCTCGGCCCAGCAACAATTATTTTCTCAGGCTTCAGATCTACCCGATTCAGCCCGACATGCCTATTTTGCTGATTTATTTGGTTTTCCATCGTTTAGACTTATTTTTTGATGTAATTCATTAGGTCAGGTTTAGCCCCCCAATGGTTTTTTTTTGCTGTTTTTTGTTTTTGAAGAGGAATGCCTCTTCTGCAGAGGTCTTGGTTTGGTCTCCCTCTCGCACTGTACTCTTCTCATCTATTAATAAAACTCGGCAAATGCTGCCCGACATTTGCCCCACTAATGGGTGGTTTACCTTCCGGGCTAAAAAAAAAGACAAATGGATGAGGGTTGTGAGGTTACAATTTCCAAACTAACAAACTTGACAAATTATAGAGATGACGGTGATGATGAAAAAACTAAATAAAGAACTATATAATCCAATGCAGTGGAACCATGCATGATGTATTTATTGACATGAATTTTTGTTTGTTTAGGATGGTTGAAATTCACGCACTTATGACATACTGAAAATGAAATCTTAGTAATACAGTAATACCTATTAAACTAAAATGGTTGCAGGAACCAAAGATCAGGCCTCTATCTGAGCTTGACACTGATATATTGTAAAGTCTTATTCCTGAGATTCCACTTTGGGTTAAAAAATCCAGATTATGATCGAGTATGTGCTTCTTATTTTATTCAAGTGAAACACAAGTTCTCATTTCATGTCAATTGCTTTTATTTCACAATTTTTTAGTTACATAATAAAACATATTTGCTCGTTCAATATGCAGGTGGGCTGGTTAAACCAGTTTATTCTTGATATGTGGCCTTTTCTTGACATGGTAGATGTATACACCCCTCCATACTCTTTAAAAATAGATTTCTTTTTAGCATTTTTCGTATAAAGGCATCTAGATCTATTCCAAAGGGTCAATTTGATATGAAGGCTAATACAAATGGGATGACATTCAAAGTTGAGATTTTCTTTCGTTGATTCTTATTCAGTTTGTCTCCCATTTATAGGCAATTTGTAGCACTATTCGAAGCTCGTGTGAGGCTATGTTTGCCGAATACATGGAGAAATATAAAGTAAAGAGGATTGCACGAATACGTTAGGAGTTCACGACATCCATAGCTTTTATTTGTTTCTTAAATTAGTGCATCAATCCATACGGCAGGTTACGGTGAAAGCATAGCTAACAAGTGAGACCGTACAGTTGACCAACAACTCAAGAACTGTTTCACTAACAGGTTAGGTTTTTTCCATCTTTTGTTCATAGGCGTTTTTCAGTAGGATTGAATAGATTTCTTGAATTGCTTCACTCAAATGTAGTGTAAATTGTATGATTTGTTTTTTATAATTACTCGTACGAGAAAAATATGAGGTTGCTCAATGCATAACATGTCAAAGGCTTAAGCATGTTGGCAACTCAATAAGGCCTAATGTTACTTTGCATTATATAGCCGATTAGCTATCAGGGAAAAAATTGGCCTAGGTCAAATAAACATGTGGTTATATTTCCTGATTCTACTAAATGAGAAATAGAAAAAGACAATATTATTAAAAAAAATTGAGTTTAATTACATTCTTATTCTTATGACATGTTCAGTTATATTTATGTTTATGTGTTACTTAGGACACCAGTATTCAGGTCCGGCCAGGCTGGACCACTCCCCCCGTCCGGCCTCCTCCATTTGGGGGCCTTCCGGGTGGTATGTTTTGCTCAAATTTTTTGTGTAGGTTCCTCATCAAGTCTAGTTCATCCATACCAAATTTCAGCCAAAAATTCAATCGGGAAGGTCGTCATATGATTTTTGCAAGTTAACTGGTCCAGAATATACATTTTGCAAAGATAATAGAAAACTATTATACCATAAATTCCACCTTTCACAAAGATAATATTTTGCAAAGATAAGAAAATAACTTGGAATAGCAGGTCATCAACCGGTCAGGGACTAGTGAATGAAGATGAGGTGCAAAGGTTGGATTATTCATGAATAACGAAAAGGTGGGACTATTAAAAGAAGATCGCTAAAAGGTTGGATTATTAGTTTCCATTTTCCCAAAATATTTTAGGTTTTAACATTTCTAAGTAAATAATAGTACAAAAAATTAAGAAAATGGACTGTGCGATTGAAAACTTTATTAACCCTGTGCAATCAAACTTGATTGAAACTCAAAACTAATAGTCAAACTATAATAATATTAAAGTCCCGATCTTCTGGAGGATGCAGAGCAGCGAGCTTGCCGATAAAGTAATTCAAATAGGTTTAAGTGTTCTGTGCCGAAGCTATTAGAAAGTAATTAAAATCTAGGCACAAAGAATGTGCATTATATGGTCTATACCAAAACTTTGAGTAACCACAGTGTAGGTTATTGGCTAAATATAATATCAAAACTTTACTATATATTTAAGATTCTTTCGAAAAAGTGTTAACATATGTGTTTCAATGTAAAACAGATATTATTTTTTTGCATTCTTTGCACTATAAAATCATATATTTTGTATGGTGAATTTTATTTTATTAAGGTTACACAAAATAGAAGAAAGTTATTTCAAAAAATGTAACAATGCGTCAAAAATTCGGCAAGACTAAAATTAATATTTATGAATTTGAAGTGCTCCATTTACAACGGAAAAATAATAATTTTGCAATTTAAAATTAAAAAGTTAATAATTTAACATAAGAATAAATCTTTTTTTTTTTAAATTTTGAATTTATAATTTATTTTTGATGTTTTTTCAAATTTATTTTATCTATTTAATTTTAATATAAGAGTAAAATTTATTCCTTTATAAGAACATGATAGGGTAGTTTTGCACTTTTTAAAAGTTTAGGGGTACATGTATACATTTGTTCCTTTTCGCTTTCATCAATTCTGATCGCCCATCGTCTTCTGTGGCCCTGTCCGAGTCGGTGACGCTCTCACGCCGGTCGGTGCTATCCGCAATCCTCCCAGTCTGCAACCAGCAATTCTCTGCCGCAGATCACAGTGAGCTACTGCCTCTAGTCGCTTGTCTTCTGATTCCAGAGTAAGCCTTTTAGTTTCATATCGTCAGTTTTATGTTAGCTATTTTTTTCATCCATAATTTGAGTTTTTTTTTGCTATGAATCCCTATTGCTACCTAAAACCTACAATCTGGTTCATATTCCGATTGCTACCTAAAATGCACAACCTAGTTTTTACTTTGAACGTTTAAAAAGCTGATAAAACAAGCAATGTAGCAGCAATTCAGATGGTTGCTGGCCTGTTCAACTTCCTCCCTTTTCAAGCATTACTCCACGAGAACGAAGTGTTATTTCAAATATCAAGTTAGGAAACACAATTGTTAGATGTTTTTGTCAATAATGGCTAGACACAATTGAAGATGTATATGCTATCAGGCTCTTATTTTCACATTCTAGACTAGACAAGTATTCGTTGTGTTCTCTCTCTCTCTCTACACACACACACACAATATGTCACGGTTTTCACATTTATGTCACGGTCTCTTCAAATTTTGCTAGAAATTTGGCAAAGGAAATTGCAATACATACATATATATGTTTGAGGGTTCTTCTGGTGTGTGGTGATTCAGTCACAAACCACACAAGCCAAAGTGTTTTTACCTATACATGTTTTTATTTACTTAAAACAGTCTGAAATCTAGTAAACATCCCAATGAACAATGAAAAATAATAATATTATTATTATTATTATATCTTGAAATGCGTCTTCCTTGTACCAGAAGTGGGGAAAAAATTATTGGCAATCTGGCAATAATTACTCTATGACTCAAGCAGGTATAGAATTCAGAATGGAAAATGAAGGGATTGCAAACTCGAAGAAACGAATGAAACCCTCTGTATGGTCTCTTAGCCTTCAGCCTTTTGAATATGTTTAGCATATGAAAAGTAAATTGCTTTCCAGATATCATGTTCTAACAGCAATGCAACCACTTATAGGCGGAAACTGAATCAAGCGAGTCTGAAGGTGCTATAACAAAGGTTGCAGAAGATGAAGCTGCAGTAAACACCACGGTTTCTGAACAAATGGACCTAGAGATTGCTCAAGTTCATGAAAAGATCAATCGCTTTACTCAGCTGGTATGTTTTGGTGCTTAGATACCCTATTACCACCGTCACTGCAGAGGAAAACAAACTGATAAATGCAATAGATGGAAAAATGAATTATAATCCCTGCCTTGGTTTGCTTGGTCATACTGAATAGTGAATAGTGGTGAGAATATGGTTACATTCCTCACACAACTGTGATTCCGACAAAACAACTCTAGTTATGTCTTTATAAAAAAGTTTATGACCGACTTTTTGCCTGTTTACATGCCTACAATTATCATGATCTTACAAAGGTATCGGAGATGCTGGAATCAGGGAAGTCCATGCTGAAGGAATTGAGTAATGAATTTGAAGAACGAATGATTTTGTAAGTTGGGTAGTATAAGAGCCTGTTTGAGATGACTTGCAGTAAACCGTTCTCCAAATAATTTTGAATTGAGAAAAGTTCCTTCAAGGTCTAACCATCTAAAAGCCAAATGTTACAGGTGTTTACTTATTTAAATATTAGTTTTTGAATTCAATTCAATAAAATTGTTCTGTTCAGGAGAAGCGGGCCAGGGAGCAGCATCATTTGCTTATGAGATTTGAAAAAGTGCTTCTATAAATAATGATTTCTCATTTGAGCATTAATACGGTGCTTTTTTAAACAAGTACAGAAGTGCTTTTCTACATTTAGAAGCATTTCTTTTCGCTCCCTTGAGAAATGCTTCTGTCTGAGAGGAGGCACTCCTATTAAAAACACTCATTGAGAATAAGTTCTTTTCCCAGCTAAGAACTGAACATAGAATTTTTTTCTACTATCATTCTGCAGAATTCATCAAGAACAGATGGAGAAGTGGCAGGAAGAAATCAAGGAACTGCGTTTGCTTGATGCCTCAAATGAGGAAGCTGATGCGGTTTTACAGAATGCCAAGTACCTATTTCGACATGTTCATGTTGACTCGTGAAGGTAACATTATCAATATAAGCAAATGGGAATACATCATATATAATGATCTGGCGGCTTAAGCTTTGTTGGGTTAAAATTAGAAGGCATATGGAAGACTGACTTTCTGCGGGATATGATATTATGAATGCTCTAGCATATGGACTACATTTTACAATATGTATAAAATGGTATCACATTCAACAATAGTTAGTTATTCAAAAGTAGTCCGTATTTGAATATTTACACATGATAAACAAACATCATACCCCAAATCTAACGTGTAAACACCATCACACATACATATGCATGTATACTTCAATATATACAGAGAGATAGATTGTCCGTATACATATATTTATATACGTAGTATTAGTTCAGTACATTAGTGTAGGTACACACTACCACTACCACTACTCACGTACCCAGGTCAGTAGCCAACAGATATGAGATCAGGTGGCCGAGGCGCGATCTGGAGTTTTTTCTAGTCATCATGACGCCGTCCCGTCTGATGTCAGGCAGCAACCAACTCTCCCTTATGGACTCTTCTTGCTTGACCTTCTTCACTTGACTATGCACAAAAGCATTTTGGGGACTAATCTGATCATCCCTCGTGCCCCACATTTGCCAGCCCTTCTCTCTCGCAATCTCCATTTTCTAGACTAAACTACTGCCAAGAATATTATTTAGACAAAAGGACGTACAGCCACCGTCGCTTGATCGATGAAGTGACTGACTCATTCAAGTCTTATCTTGGGATATCTATCCATATCTGTATTCTACATAGTGTCATTAGTGTTTGCGTCATTAGATAATGATGTAGAAATTTCCGCTTGGCAGTTGGGTGGAGGTTGGTCGGTTATTTCTCTTCTGGATTGAGTTGAGTGTTGGTAACCGTTTTCCGAAGTTGCGGTATGTAGACCTATCACCGGTTTCCGGTTCAACCGGAACCGGGGTAAGCTTACGGTTTGGAAGCGGAGGTTCTAGGTAAATCTGCAGAATCAGTCAATCCAGCCACTTCAAAAATTTGAGTTGACTTAGCCGATTCAGTGTTACCAAACGGGTTCTAAAAGATGAGATCTTCTCTTTCATTGTGTTTATATGGATAATAGATGTACTAACTACTCCGTATAATGTATGAATGAAAGTTCATAATAGATTTTAATAGTCTTCTTTGATTATTATCAGATTTTTTTCATGATTAATTATTTTTCAGATCAAGTGTTTTGAAGTTCAAATTAATTTAGATTGACTTCTTTCTCGTCTTGTAGATATACAAAATTTCAAAGTGACGTCTGACGACTAGAGCCGTCTATGTGATGCCATTTATCGCTTTTTTTTTTAATATTAAAATATCAACGACTCATTTTAAAAAGCGGTTATCCGCGATTACCCGCGGTTATATTCGTTACCTGTTGCAGCGGATATGATTTGAGTAAAAATTACCCGTTGGGTAATGGGGCTGTTATGAGTCGGGAAAATTACCCAATGGGGTGGGTACAGTTATATGTAAAATCGTCCCCAATCTGTCCCGTTGTCATCCCCAGAACAAATAGGTTTTGGAATTTCAAAATATGTGTGCTATGTTATTATTCTCGAAATAAGAGTAGCATGAGCGTAACTCAACTGGTAGCGAGGGAGTGCCACAAGGGGGAAGTTCCCGAGTTCGACTTCCGGCAACTACGCTGAGAGGTTACTCGACCATAAGGACTTCTGTAAGTACCGGAGACAGAACCCCACTCTCCATCTGTCAGATTGTGATTATAGTCCAATTTACATCCTCCCATCATACCGTCCGGTCGGCGTTGGGGGGCCCTCAGGGATGGGGTGCCATCTTTTTTCTTTTTCTTTTTTCGAAATAAGAGTAGCATGACAATTTTCGAATATTTATTTTTTCGAATATTTATTATCATTAATGGTGGTATTTTTGAATCATGATGGTAACGACTCTTAATGGGAAAAAACATTGCGGTCTTATATTGGAATTCCGAGCAGTGGCGGAACCAGAGATAAATTCAAATGGGTACTCTTATATACATGGTATAATTTCTTTTACAAAATAATTTTTTATAAGGATAAAGGAAAAACCGGTAAAAACTAATCATTAGATATATAGAGTGCGACTCCATTAAAAAGGGTTGTTCCGGTGAAAATGTGAATGAGTACACTTTTTACTTATTCTGCTGCACTAGTAAATACTGCCTCCGTTCTTAAATAGTTAAAACATCAGAAATTTTATGCAATTCACGTGTTCTACTTTGACTATATTTTATTCACGAATACATTAATACTTTAATTTTTTAAAATATAATTAAAGTGTTCCCACTTTAAATTATAAAAATGTTAGTTTTTTAAAAAGGTAAAATAACTTTAAATAATACAAACTATCTTTCATCAACCAAGAATAATACGTACTTTGGAAATTACTTTTAATAATACCAACTATTTAAATATAGACCAAAAGTGATATGGAGCAACTTTTCAATGAAAATTCAGTTATTTAATTCATCAAAAACTAGTATCAAAATTTCAAATAAGTGAATGTTATTACAAATATAATTTATTTGATAATTTGCTATTAGTTTTTAATGTCTTAAATGACTGGATTTCTTGTTTTTTTTGAAAGGAAATAAATTTCATTAATCAACTCAAACTCTCAGTATGAAGCTGAGAGATGATACAGTTTGGCGGGTTACAAACCATGTAAAAACCATCCGACAAAGAAAGAGCAGCCCTAGCTAACTTATGAGCTACTACATTCGCGGATCTTCTACCATGAATGACTTCTATCCTAGCTTCATTACGAAGACTGAGTCTTATGTCATCTAAAATAGTATCCAAATACGAATCTCCTTCTCTCCTTACCAAGCCCGATGCTACCACTTGGGAGTCTGTCTCCAGTTCAACCCTCTCCCAACTCTGAGTTTTTGCCCAACCCAGAGCCTCACGTACTCCGATTGCTTCGGTGATCTCTGCTGACCAGCTGGCCTCTTCCACATTCCAACCGCCTCTAATAAAGTTGCCTTGCGCATCCCTGACCACCCATGCCCATGCACGCCTATTGTTTTGCATGTCCAGAGCCGCATCCACATTGATTTTAACAATACCTGCTGCTGGTTTCTTCCATCCTCGCATTTGCTCTGATGCCTTTCTTGTGCTGCTGGTTTCTAACTGAGCCTCCTTCCATCCACGTAAGACTGCCGCTCCTATCTCCACACATTGGCACCAGTCCGCAGCTTGATCCTTCCAGACTTTGTCATTCCGTATCTTCCATATACTCCACATATTAGCAATAAAAATACACAGCTCCTCTTCCTGCAGATTATCAAAAAACTTCCTAACCCAGTCAATAAAGTTATGCCCTTGTCGGACATAGCGGGCCCCAAGCATCCTCCACACCGTAGAGGCTACTCTGCAAGTTTTAAAAATGTGTTCCTCTGACTCATCCTCCTCTTCACAAATTCTGCATGCAGTTTCCACCTCCACATGTCTGCACCGAAGATTATTTGTAGTAGGCAGACAGCCCGCCATTACCTGCCAAAAAAAGCACTTCATTTTTGGTGGAATTTTTAAGTTCCACATCTTGGTCCATCCCAGCCATCCCTGACTTGCACAGTCCCCACGTAAGAATCTGTAACCGCTCTTCACAGTATAGATCCCTCTGCTATCCTCATTCCACCACACCCCATCTGTAGGAATAGACAAAATAGCTTTGCTATCCTCAGCAGAGAAAATAGTATTAATCCTTCCCTTGTTCCACTGATCCCCTTGTTCATTAAGCAACGCCGCTATGTTCATATCAGCAATTCCTGTTGGGGGTCTTGACTGTACCCGACCCGAGCCTTTCCCTGGTAGCCACCGCTCACGCCAGACTGATATGGTCTGGCCGTTGCCCACTTTTCGACGTATCCCTTGCTCCATCATCTCCTGAGTCTCTATTATGCTACTCCAGATAAAAGAGGGATTATTCCCCAACTTGGCCTGCAAAAATGAAGAATTAGGGAAATATTTAGCTTTAAAAATTCTCCCTACTAGCGAGTCCGGGCACTTGATTATCCTCCACGCCTGCTTGCCCAACATGGCTAAGTTAAATTCCTTTAGAGATCTATAGCCCATCCCACCTTTCTGTTTCGGGATACAAAGTGATTGCCAACTTTTCCAAATAATCCCTTTTCTGTTTTGACCAGCCCCTCGCCACCAATAATCGTTCATAATAACCTCTATCTCAGAACACAATTCCTTAGGAAGAAGGAACACATTCATGGCATAGGTCGGCATGGCCTGGATCACCGTCTTGAGCAAAATCTCTCTTCTTGCCTTAGATAGAAATTTATTATTCCAACTCCGCACCCGGTTGATAACCCTTTCCTTCAAGTAGCTGATAATATCTTTCTTATTCCTGCCAATTAATGATGGTAATCCAAGATAGGTAACATTATTTCCTTCTTGCCGCACTCCCAGACAATCGGTAGACTTCTGGTAATTTGGACTAAATTTAATCGTAGACTTCTGGTAATTTACCATTTGCCCGGAGCATTCTTCATACGTCTGTAAGATTTTTTTTACCGCCTCACATTCACCTTCTCTAGTCCTGAAGAACAGAAAGCTATCATCTGCAAAAAATAGGTGGGAAAGCCTTGGAGCTCCCCGAGCAACAGAAATTCCCAAGATATTACCCATACTCTCCCCTTTACGAATAAGGGCACTAAGGCCTTCAGCAACCAAGATAAAAATGTAGGGGGAAAGGGGATCCCCTTGACGAATACCACGGCTGGGATAAATCGGTCCAATCATCTCATCATCAAAAGAGATAAAGTAGTCCACCGATTCCATGCACTCCTTTATCAGGCCAATCCACCTAGCATCAAAATTCATAATATGCATGATGGCTTCCACATAGCCCCATTCAACTCAATCATAAGCCTTGCTCATGTCGAGCTTTACGGCAACATAGCCATCCTTTCCCTGAGTCTTCCTCTTAAAGTAATGCAGAGATTCAAAAGCTATCATTACATTATCAATTA